TGTTTTATTTATTTTGAGAAGACTATCTTTTATTGCGTGTATGGACAATGCTATTAAACAATGGTCTGAGATTAATGAGAGACCATGTACTTTAAAGTAATTAATTTTATCAAATAATGGTTTAGAAGTAATAGCAAAGTCAATGGCACTGCTACCTCTTGGTGTGTGGCATGTGTATTTACCTATTGAATCACCCACACTTCTACCGTTTAAAATGATTAGGTTGCAGTCAATGCATAATTGAATTAAAACAATGATAGTCAAGTTTATGTGAACAAGCCCACTGCCCCTCACTTTCGTTTTAAACGGGTAGCCCATCATGACCTCTAACGTGATTTCAAAGATAGGTTTATTACACATATGCAAGCGACCCAGGGTCAACTTTAGATTTGTTCTCAATTAAAGGGTGGTGGTCATCTCGCCGCGCCCTGTTCGATATGGGACTCATAGCGACGTATACAACGCGTGTGAAATACATTGTTTATTTACATGAAAATCGAACACGCGCTGAGTGACATCCACTGCCCTTCAACATTAAATCTCGGTGGGCGATGTGCCATGGTTATTAAATCACCGAAAGGTGTTATGTGGTCATATGACACATACTAGTAAAATAAAACTCATGTATCATGCTGACGATCTTGTAATACTTTCTGAAACAAAATCAGGATTACAATCTTGCCTTGATAATGTATCAATATACACTAAAAGATGGCATCTAACTGTTAACACGGAAAAGACAAAAACTATGATCTTTAACAGATCAAACAGACTTCTAGAGAATGATATTTTCTTCTTTGAAGGTTGTGAGTTAATTACTGTAAAATCAACCAATTACCTAGGATTAATAGTAAGTGCTCATGGGAAATTCAAGGAAGGCCTAAAAGGCACTCTCTCTGTTTGATAAACTAATCAGACTAATTCTATATGGTAGTGATCAGTGTATGGGGAGATGAAATTACACTAAAATCACCAATTGAAGATGTACATATAAATGATCTTCGTTTTCGTTTGGGTACATCCAAAAACACTACAACAATGTGTTTATACGGTGAGCTTAGACGTTACCCATTGGAGACTTTTATCGAAAAACAAATGATAAAATATTTTAATCGTGTAAAGAACTCGTCAAATCCATTATTAAAACTAGCTTTCCAAGAAAATAAAGAAATTAATAGTAAATGGTACACGAATATAGATTCCCTTTTGAATAACATTAACCAGTCTAACCTGGTCGACAGCAATTGGGACAAATTAACAAAAATACACAAACATCACTCATATCAACTTGGAAAAGTGAATTACACAACGACAATCGATCAAAACAAAATGAAAAAAAAAAATTAAGAACATACAGAGAATTAAAAAACAATTTAGCTTTTGAAACCTACCTTGTTACCCTGCAAAATATTGAGATGCGCGAAAATCAAGTTAAGTAAATTCCGCCTCAGTGACCATAACTTGAGAATTGAGACTGGCAGACACAAAGGAATGCCCCTTGCTAATAGATTATGCAACCTTTGTGATCAAAACGAAGTGGAAGATGAGTATCACCCAATGATAACATTCCAAAGATATACCCCGAAAGAAATGTCAGCAACCCCAGTGACAATCTTCTTTCACAGTTTAAGTTTTGCATTTTGTTTTCTATCTATCTATTGTAGTATTATAATTTAATCTTAATATTTTGTATTCTCTGTAATGTATTAGCTTAGTTTGTTTTATTTTATCTATTTACTTTTTTCAAGTTGTAACCTTGTATTCCTTCTTAAACTTTTGTAACCATTGCCAATCCCTCCGGGGAATGTGTAAGTGTTAATAAAAAACACAAAATTAATATTTACTAAACACATTATAATCAAAGCAATATAGCATAACGAAAACTAATTTAAAAACAAAATAAACTTAAAAGGAATGAAATAAATCACAATAAACTATATTGAGCATTTTTTAAAGCATCTTCAATGTAAAAAAAAAAATTGATTTGATTTCTGTTTTTGTGAAATTTAGTATGCAGGATTTAGGATATAACGAAATAATATTGTAAGTGGAGAGAAATCAGATGATAAAATTCGAACTACATGATTGACAAAAATAAAATGCGAATTTCGGCTCAACCCACGGAACGAGTCTGTCTTTGAACACAATTGTTTAGGGCGATACCATTTTCTAATTGTATCTGTAATTGGAACACAACAATGTGACTATACCACAAAACACCCAAAGAGATTACAAAATGACAGTGGCACGGCTAATAAAGTTTTCGCACTCTCCCCTTTATCAAATGATATCCAAAGTAAAAAAAAAACATGTTTAAATCGTCCCTTCTATCTCATACCCATAATCCCACAACCAAATGGTACGGTACAACATAACAAAATGGCCGTCTGCGTACGCGGGTTTGTGCTTGCTATTTCGTCCACTGAAGAACGAAAAATATAGTTAACTGGCGCCACCACGCCGTGGTTACGAACTATTGTTGGTAAGTCCTTCGTAGAATATCAGTTGTTTATACATGTACATCTGCAAATTACAATATTTATACGTGAAGTCTGTAGTCTACTGTTTAGTTTGTGACATTGCGGGTAGCCGATAACCATGTATTTTGATTATATTTCCCATTATACCATGATAAGACCTGATTTCATCTCTGAAAACCAATGTCTGTGTTCCAACGAAAAAACGACTAGGATATAGTATTTCGAAGGGCGTTTAGTATGGATTTAGTATTAAAATCAATGACATATGTATATACATGTATACTAGTACATGTATCCCATTTGAAGTCACGCGATTTGCGAGATTATCGCAAGAATAAACGCATAAGTCTAGAAATACCAGGGGGGGGGTGTCGCATGTGAGGGCGCTGTTCAAAAAGACTGCAGTCGGAGCTGGTCATTTCTGAATACTGTAGAATACTTTATTTTCGCTTGGAATTTATTTTCGCTATTTTCGCTGAAGGGATGATTCCGTGAAAATAAAATCCAGTGAATATACTTTTTTCCTATATTTCACATTAAACTCATTAAAAATCAGTGAAAATAAATTCCAAGCAAAACGCCCAAAAAGCCTTTTCAGCGAAAATTAATTCCAACGAAAATAAAGTATTCCACAGTAGATCTTTGTTCTGATAACTTCCGGTGTACGCGCATAGCATCGATCGGCGTTCTGAATGTATGATGAATATGTTGGCCAAATGTGGCTTCCCCTCTTCTCTGGAGTCTTCCCACTCGGCGAACTGCGGAGATTTTTAGACTTTTGACCCCCTTTTTTTACCGGTGTCATCGGTGTTGATAACATGATGTTTGTCAACATCGTCAGGGGGAAATTGACAGTCGGCCGGGCCGAATCGCTTCACTACTCGAAATTGCCTAAACACGCATCACTATATTGGCTAAAAACTACTATAAACAGACTACAAAACTATTGCTAAACTACATAACTAATTTTGAAAGTATCAGCAACGTCTACATTATGATCAAAACAGTAGCACGAGTTAATGTTTACATCGCCATATTTAAAGAGGTCTGACACGACCTACACCGGAAGACCACAATATGACCTCGGGTAAACAACTAACCACGTACTTTCTCGCGTGCATTCAGCACCGAATAAATAAAAATGCATACTAATTAGGCAACTTTGCCATGGCAAAAAAGTATGAAAACGGCTTGAGCAATCTTGAGCAATATTGCCAATAGTACGGTACAGTGCCCATCTACAATATATGAGAAATTTGTTCATTGCAACACCGCCGTAAACGAGAAAAGTGCCGAGTCTCGCCACGATGCCCGCCATAGTCGGCAATTATTCGTACCGGAAAAAGTGAGTTATCAAACACAGACCTGCATATTTTTTACATTTGCAACATTTATTGAGCATTTAAAATAAAACAGAACACGTTTTTGCCAGTATTAACAACTTTAAATACCGAAATTCGTGGGTTTTTTTTACCTGATGAATTATTCATGTATGTTAATGACGTCGGAAAAAGACCAATCACGTCATGTGACACCCCCCTGAGAAATACTGAATCTTGCACTGAATCTTGGTTAGTTTTTGCCTTTTTTAGTGTCTTTGCATACATGTATTATTCACAAAGTGCGTTTTTTGCTTTTGTGAATAAAGTGATGTCTCATTTCTGTATTCACAATCTAACCTTTGCAAGTGTTCATTGGGTTCCTCAATCCTAGTTTTGTGATACTCTCAAATTATTAATTATCGGTAGCCTGGAATCCAGTCATTCATTAGTTATCTCCATGACTTCAGTGCCATGGTATTACCATGGGAACTCGTATGCACAAACTGATCTGTACTTAATATCCGCTTTACAACCCTCCATACCAATTCACTAGTATAGCTATTATTCATAGATTAGTCTCACATTTCTTGAGAATCTCAATCAAGTGATTTTTTTGGCGCAAATAAAAACAAATTACCTGAGTTGATTTGGAAGGGCTGAGGTGAAAATATACTAAATGAACACAGACCAATTCATTCTAGCCTCCAGTATCAACTGTTTATATATAGTCCAATTTAGTGAGATATCATTTGTGTATATTTTTGTAATTGTCATACATTGTAGGCATGTCTGATAAAAAAATCTTGATGCACAGATCTATACTAGCTTGCGTTCTGCTAGAAGTGTGACATTGTCCAAATGTTTTTGTTAACCGAAACACAATCATGTAATTGTATATTGAATAAAAACAGCAATTCCTATGCAACATGGGCACAATGCAACAAAGTTAGTCCTCCTATTACAATTTCACTCACATGTGTACTTATGTTTTGTCTTTTTCAGGCACATCCAGCAACTGAATCTCCCAGCATCCAACTCATTCATCAAGTCTTCAGTATTCTGTAATGTATTGTAGCCTGAAAACAAGCTATCCATTATTCCATATTATCAACTGTACAGTCAGTAGCAAATTGACTGAAAATATTACATTATAGATTCCAAGCAGCTGAGGTTCTAAATGCATATTTAGTGTTGTAATATGGCAACTAACAATCAAGAGCACCAGTCGATCACATCTCTTACTTGCAAGTTGTGTAACAATGAATTTGGCACAAAATATGAGCTGAATAAACACATGGCGGGACATATTGTGCGATGGCAGATCTCGCGTTTAGGTACAACACAGGACAAAAGTTACTCTATGGATTACACGCAACCTGATGAAAGCAAAAGCACTCAATCTGATAAAAGAAAAATCATACGAGCTGATGAACACAATGACACACAACCTGTTGGATTAGATAGTGCAGAGTACAAACAACCTTTAAATGAAAGCCAAAAGGAAGTTCTTCCACAATGCGAAGTATGTCAGAGATTTTTCAAAACTAAACATGCGTTGAATATTCACATGCACACTGCCCACAAATATAAATCCAATATGGTTACTAATAACAAGGACATTTCAGTACTAAATACAAGTGGAACCAACCTACCACCTGAAGAGCCTGTCATTAAAAAGATGGTGGTTAAAAAGACTGAAGGAAGTGAACAAAAATGCCAGGCACAATTTGAGAATTGCTGGCTTAGCTATGAATGTAAAATTTGTGAGTCTACGTTCCCATCAAAGGAATACTTTGATTTTCATATGCTAAAGCACACTGGGGGTTTGTCGCGTTGTAGCCAGTGTGTACGTGTATTTACGTCCAAGGACGCCCTTGACCATCACATCACTTCAAGCCACCGAGTACATTTTTTCCGATGCTTAAAATGCAACGAACTAACCTTGATATGTAGTATGTTGCAGCATATCAATCAACATAGAGTGGAATTGTGCACAGGGAAACAGCAACCTGTTGTTGCCGAGTGTGCCGGAATGCAGCAACCTGTCATCGGAGTGTGTCCTGAGACGCAGAAACCTGTCATTAACACAAGGTGTGCATCTTTTCATGATGTCTGCACGCTTTGTGATGTGCAGTTCTACTCTCAAAGCAGGGCAGAAGAGCATTTCATGATCTACCACAATCCAAAGAAGGAACCATTTCCAAAGTGTCGCATTTGTAATAAGATGTTTTACGATGTTGTTAGTCTGAATTATCACTTGACTTCAGGCATGGGACTTAACTGTAAACATTGTAGTCGGTATTTTTGCTCTGATATTGGTTTTAAGGCACATTTGATGTCCTGTCCAAAAGCACAGGTTAACTGCATTGAGTTCGGTGACGGAAAGCTATCGGTAGATACTACTCTCCAGGGTATGAAAGCAGATACTACTTCCCATGTTAAAAAAAGCAATAAAAAGCATGGAAAATTTAATAGTTCAATTCGCAAATGTAGTCTTTGTAAGTGCAAGTTTAAATCTAGTATAGCACTGAAGTATCATGCCCTATCATGTAAATCTGTGATAGACACCAAATGTCAGTACTGTAACCGTCATTTAAAGTCTAACGTAGCACTTACACATCATATAAAATTGTGTAAAATTAGAATAGGCACAGTTGAATGTAAGCACTGCAGATGTCTCTTCAAACCAAGTCAAATCATGCGTCAACATGTGAACAATTGTAAACGAAAGGTTGCTTTGTCCAGTTACATCAAGAGATGCAAAACAAGGAACAGATGTAAATCTTGCAATAATGGATTTATGTCTGGTTTTCTGTTAAAAAGTCATGTGATATCATGCAATGCAACTATGATCGCTCAATCTGTGAAACGTGCAAGTCATAAACGCAAACGTGCAAGCAAGAAATCTGATCCTGCGTGCACCAATAAGCGGCCAGTTGTGGCTGTATACATATGTGTGAACTGTCAATGTAGTTTCACATCAAAATTTCTTCTGGATTCACATGTAGAATCCTGTAGTGTTGCTTACCGTTGTGAATGTCGATACAAACTTGAATCGGTAAACAGCTTACAAGAACATATGAAATGTCACGTGGATATAGAGTTTGCAGATTTTGAAATTTATAAATGTAGGTTTTGTTTTGAATCATTCTCAACAACTGTGGCTGTCCGTGATCATTTAGTTAGAAAACATAGTGTGAAAATGCCCATTTCTATTAAGGGTAGCAGCTGGAGACCTGAAAGCAAGCATATAGTTGAACAGAACCCTGACATGCCTTTGCAGAAACGCAGTGTCGCTCAGATGCAGAAGCCATGTCTGCATATGTGTGGTAAATGTGGAGATACTTTCAGTGAAAAGGTCTACCTTGAAATCCACATGGATGCACATAAAACGGAATACTACTGGATTCCTGAATTCACTGGACTGTATGCTGATGTCTACAGAGAACGTTTTGAATCTCATAAATGGAAGATTCAAAACAGAACAGAAGATATAATCAATGTGGATCCATATAAGAATTTGAAAATAATTTGTGATGATAATAACACAAGTTCTGCAGTTGGAATTTTCAGATTGAAATTTGTTTAGTTTGTGTGTTGTATGCTTACACTATAACACTTCATGAACAGTATCATTCATTGTGAACAATGGCACTGGTACTGTAAAACGTGTTGAAAAAGTGACATGCTATTTTATCGAATTGTGGTAAAATGACGAGTGAAATGTTGATTTAGTGAATCTCTCCTGTCTTTGTTGATTTCCTGTTTTCACAATATTTGTCTGTTCCCTACCAAAACAAATGCGCAGTTATCACCTCCATAAAAACAAAGAAAAACTGTCAAGTGTAATAATGAAGCGCTCCTGATCATTACGTTTTCTGTGTTTACAAAGTGTGTGTGTGTGGAGAAAAAGACGTATGGCTGCCATTTTGAATTTATAATGAAGTCATTAGCGACATCTTGAATTAGCAAATTAGTTCACTCGCTAAAAAGACATGTTTTGCAGTAAACTTTAACAGTTGTAGAGGTCTGAAGCTTTATGAAATGTGACAATTGCAGAAAAGAATAGAGGACTTAAATTAAATTAAAACGATGTAGAATAGGTTTATAATATACATACAAGAATAGGGGGTTATATAGTATCTACAGCTGATTTGATTTGGCCCGAGATTGGCCTTCAAAAGTGCTACATTCTGATACTTAAATGTGTCCGGCATCGTACCTCGGAGATGAACAGTTGGATTCCTCAATGTATTACCTGATTAGTTGAAAGTTTGCACACATGTACTATACTATGAGGTTATTACAAGGATACCGCAAAATATGCACTCAGACAGTACAGCAGGGTATCGACCAACGCACAGTGAAGCTCGATGTGACTGCGTACTGTCAGAGTGCATATTTGTGGTATCCTCTCATTATCCTTATTGTTATACATCTTTTCCTCTCAAGTATGCCGAAATCCAAAACGTTTAGAACAGATTTAGTGAACTTCAAACCATGGGGGCTGCCATGTTTGCTTTTATTATTAAATTATGTGCATAATCATTCCATATTCGGAATTGAGATTTCCTAATATATTAATATGCAAATACCCAGTGCAATACCACACAATTATGGCACGCTGTAACAAATGGCATTACAGTGACTTTTGTATAATAACGATAGGTATTAAATACCATAGATTGTGTTATTTTGTGATTTGATCAAATTGACTGCTTTTTTGTCAAATATTCTAATCTGTGAATGTGTCTGCAATCATTTTTCTAAACTGGGCTACATGTTCACGTCATTTATTTTCGAAAAAAAATATAGTCGACTGGCAATTGTTTTTTTTTCCTATGGTTACAGTTGTATGCATGAAACTTATTCTGTTTGTTCAATTTTGTCAGTCTATGCACTTTCAGTAATATTGTATTGACAAAGAGATGGTGCATGAAGTCCTTCGGTAGACGTGTATATCTGAACTAAATACTGTAATTGCTTACCGACACTGTTATTGCCAGAGAATGAAGTAAAAAAAATACCTGTCCAACATCTACCGGTATATTGAAATGCTAGATAGTAGTTGCTAAAATGTATCCATAAACTTGGTCTATTTTTTGTTGATTGTCTAATAGCTATTTAAATCAAAGTTGACAGTTTGTAGAAATTCAACTTAATTCTAAGAATATTTGTAAAGTTCTGTTTTTATGTTTTCTTGTGTGATAACAAGTTAAACTGATTCCATGCACACAAACCATACTTTTTTGCGCACATGTGTATACTTTAATGTAAAAAATTCATGAATAAAAATATTAATAAGTAGAAAAAATGGCTCTTGTAAATCTTATCAAAATTCTTGTAACTTACTATGGTGTTACATTATATGTTGATCTAAAAAGTCATAAATTTGAATGATCCATTCTATTGTGTAGAAACTTTCTGGTCAAACCCATCAATTCAGACCCCACTCTAAGTTGGCCGCTGTCTTCAACAGTTGAAGAATTTATTCAATTTCAATTTCAACCTTGGCTGTGTTTCAAAGTGCAAGTTAATTACTGTAGAGTACTTTATTTTCGCTATTTTCACTGAAAGGATGATTCCGTGAAAATAAATTTCAGCGAATATACTTTTCCCCTATATTTCACATTCAACTCATCAAAAATCAGTGAAAATAAATTCCATACAAAACGCCCAAAAAGCCTTTTCAGCGAAAATTATTTCCAGCGAAAATAAAATATTCCACAGTATTAAACAATTTACTCAAAAATAATGTAGATTTACTAATTTTGAAAACCATGTCAGAAATGCAAATGGCAACCACTGCAGACATGTTTCTTTTAGTAAAGCAAGTCAGTGGCTGAGGTTGATAATATCAAAGTGAATGCTCACTTTGCTTATCCAATACAGATGGGACAGCATTGGTGGGGACACTTACCAATCAATCAATCAATCAATCAAAACAATAAATTCATGTTTTATTTAAAACAGCTTTATTATCTACACCACAATTGAAAACATGATTTACATATTAACATATTAAAATTTAAATATTGTTTTTTAATTCTCATGATCTTTTTAATTTTATTCACAATAAGGCAAGTTAATATAGCAATCTGGTGTTCTTGGGAATTCTCAACTTTGTAATATACCAGTGTGCCCTCCAACCTTTTCACCAACAGTTCTTTCTTTTCATAACATCTGGTGCCATTTATTTACAATTAAATCACTAAAATCATGCATTTATTTGGATACTTTTTGATGTTACCAAACCTTTTTTTTTTAGAGAAAGTGAATAACATTTATTGATTGCGCCTATGATAAATATCACCATTTCTGATTACGTCATTCAGAATTCCCTTGCTTTAGTGATGTGTCAAAATGGCTTAAAGGGCACAATGTTCAGTTCTTTTTCACACACCCACATATTTGTGAGAACAAATGACATGTCACCTCCTGTGTATATTTGCTATAAAACTTCAAATTGATATTAATGGTATTTTAAGCATAGTTACTCACAGATTACACGATAGGTATAAGCACGCATAATTCAGCCTGAAAATAGTCAAATGGCAATGAAATTCAATACAATCTAGAAAATACACTTCACTGGAAAGGGGTACATGTAATTCCTAAAACTTGTATTAATGAAGAAGAGACTCAATTGTATCAGTTCCAAAAAGTATGTAAATTGTATGTTAATTCAGTGACCAAATATGGATGAGCATCTGACTGAATTGCAGTAGATCATTTGCCCAACATTGTGAGGGTACAAGCACCCATATTTGGGGCAGTAATATTTCTATCACAAGCCTCTCTGTCTATATATATATATATAAAGTTTAATCTCTAAAACATCCCCTGCCATCACTAGTTGACAGTTGAATTTTGGCGATGACTCAATTCTTGAACAATTCGCTACGTAGTAATGGTTCACACAAACCGCAACGAGCAATCTACGATTCACTAGACCTTAAAAAATCCTGCATGTTCCTGTTTTAAACCATGAATCACATTTGCAGAGAGTGAAGGCATGTGTTGTTTATTGGCTCGCACCATCCTCTTTCGCAGTGAGTTGGACAAGGAAATCTTCTACCTGTTTCAAGGATAGGGAATTGTGGAGGGTTTCCAGTGGATGAATGGAAGGCACCATGACATCCATTCCTAGGAGAGTCCAAAATATACAATTATAATAAAGATTTGTAAGATAAGGGTAAGAAATTTTCATAACCATGTATATGCAATGAAGATCTTATGAGAAGCAAACTTTGCGCTTTGCAAGTAACGGATTTCGTACATGTCAATCAAATGTAGTTCTAACCAATAGTGCTGCAGATCGAAATTAGCGACATTCATCGCAGCAAAAATGCAAAACAGACATATCGCACACTTTTCATAACCACAATATGTGGTGGTATACAAGATAAACAAGCAGCCTGTTGGCTGAGATAGCTCCGCTGTTAGCAATGCACATGGCAATTAAAGAACAGAAGATATCATTAGAAAATGAACAAATCTGAGAGAGGTCCACATGTAGTACCTATATGTATAATATATCAAAGCAATTGGACTTGCGGTTTTCAACAAGAAGTCGAAAATATCACTTTTTACCAAAAATGACAAAAATATTCACCAAAATTAGAGAATTGAAGATATCATCATGAAAT